TTGATCTCACAGGGGAGAAATGTACTTGTTAAATCAGCTCAAATAGTGAAAAAAAAAATAGAAGAAGGTGCCAAAGAAAGAAAAAAGGAGCACGGGATATATACATTTCATCCACATATGACAGCTTTTTTGTTTTTATAGCAGGATTTTTATACAGGGTTATTGCACAGGGGGTTTACATGGGTATTTATATATATATATATATATATAGTTACTGCACTGTATTATTCTTTGGTGCTTTAAATAAAGCTGACATTCTTTAGTCCTAAGAGAAAGAAAAAAATACAATGAAAGTAAAAGTTAAGTTTATAACAATATTTTATCCAAACTTTAGATGTAGTTATCAGTAAATGAGCCAAGTTAGTTTAAAGGAAAGCTCACTTTTAAAGAAAAACACCTGAATAAACAAATTCAGCTGAAACAGAACCAAAGAAAAACTATAATCAATTTTCGGAGTTAAAAAGTAAAGAGTAACTACTGTAAAAAAAAAAAGAAAAAAAAAAAGGCTAAGGATGTTGGTGTCACATTTCCGTAAACTACCGTTTTTAACTTTACTCTCCATTTGGCGGCTGGTTTAGCGGAAACGTCCAAATATTTTTAATTCTCTTTATAAACTATAAACATAAACTAACAACGAATACAGCTAGCACGCATCATGTTTAAAGTAAATCTAGAGAACAGGAAAAAAACATACTTCTGAATTGTGCTGACAGCTCAGTTGTCCGATAATGGAAACATGAATAATAGATTAGCTTGCTGAGCAGCAATTTCGACACTTTCTTACCGATATCCACGGTTGGAAGCCCGCGGTGGGATTCGGTAAACATGGACCTCCGGCTTCACGCATAGCATCGACTCATAAGTGTTGTCCTCTGCCATTTTGTAAAGTTTCACTAAACCAAAAGACAACTTCCGACTTTCAATGGACGAACAACACCTCACTCTGCCGCTGCTGGTCGGTTGACGCGGAGCTGTATCCAAACACCGCCCCCTTCTGGTCAGGAGTGGAGGGGCAGAAGGGGGAGGGGCTGTATCCAAACACCGCCCCCTGGTGGTCGGGAGTGAAGGGGCAGGGACAGGAGCAAATAGTGGCTGAGGTGACTTGGAAAACAGCCATACCTATTCAAGGTAAAACACCCGCTAGTTAAATATGGTTCATTCTATTAGAAATAGTTCTTACATTATTCAGAATAAAAAATAGAGGTTTGATTGTTTTGCAAAGAGGGCAATTCAAAATAATATTAGTTTTACAGTTAAAACAAGTAAATCAGAGGGAAAGAGTATTATTAAAGAAAAACTGATGGGTAAATGGCAAAAAAGGTGGGATGAAGAAAAAACAGGAAGATGGTTTTATAAAATTCAGAAGATAGTAGGAAAAAGAAGAAATGGAAGAGGAAATAGAAATGAGGAGAGAATAAGGTTAAGATTTGGGCATAAAGGACTTAAACACTTTTTAAAATTCAAAAACATACTACTGGCAAATATGATTACTGTGGAAAATATGAAACAATAGAACATGTTATACTGGAATGTCATAAATATGAAAGCGAGAGAAGATATATGAGGAGAAAGTTTAAAAGGAACGGAAAAGATTAATTTATTTGATATTTTGAGGAAGAATTTGGGGAGTAAACAAATGCAAATAATTATTCGACTTTTAAAGAAAACTAAATTTTCTCATAGAATTTGATTATAGAGAGGGTAATTGTGCATATGATATAGATAGAATACAAAGTTATGTATAAGTATGTTTTTTTTTTTCCCTTAGAAATTACATTTATGTTTATCAAGTAGATAGTCTATCACGAACCACACTCCATACATACTCCATAGTTGCCAACCACCAATAAATCCAAGTGGAAGAAGAAGTTAAATTCCACTTAACATTTTTTTTTCATTGTAAATTGATTGAATGTTTTTAAATGGCAGAAATGCTTCAGATTACACCTGATTTATCAATGTCACTTCTTATAATTCAGGTTGATCGATCAATCAGAGTAAGTCTGAGACTGCAGTAGTCATTCAAAGTAGGACTTAAAAGTGCCCATTAAAGTGGGGCCTGGATTATTGGATAAACAGTAATTGGTCTGCTTGTTTGTTTTGTCATCTCTGACTGTTGTGGGATTTCTGTGTTTGTGCTCGTACTGCAAAAAGCCTTTTGATGATGGTTTGGAAAGCCTGTAGCTCTACCATAAGCTCATAATAGTAGACACCCAGACAGACACCTGGCCTTTTGCAGACATGTCACACACGAACCCAACAGACCTTCATTGTGAAATTACATGGAGCTGAAAAATATTTTCAGCCCACAGAGGCTGATCTTGGCCATCTAATAAAAATGAAGACATTTCTCTCTTTTTGATCGTCTGATGAAATCACGGGTCCCTTAAAACTATTGTTGCGCCGATGCCATTTTTTGGCCCCGATACCGATACCCGATACCTGGCTGTGCAGTATCGGCCGATACCAT